TTAGTTGGCAGACTCTGCCTTCAGTCACCTTAACCAAAGCCATCCCAGAAGTTGGTAGCTAAGCCTGTTTGGTTTTAGCCCACAATCATGCTCTCTCTGGGCAGAAGCAGCACAGAAGGAAACGTTCCTTATTTCAGCAGGGTCCAAGTCCACCTATTCACTCACATAACCCTCTTGTAACAAGTTTTCAGTGCACTGGCTTTTCACTAAATACTAAATAAAATGAGTGCAGTTGTTTAAGGACCAAGACCTGCTGTGTTCCAGCTATCTGAGAGTAACTGAAGAAAGTGGCAGCAATATAAAGACACACATTTAAAAATACCTCATTGTCTTTTTAACGTAATTCTCAAGTGATCCCTTAGGATTTAGTATTTATATCACAATATAGACTGTAGCTAAATACTTCCACAGGGTCTCTTTTGATTTTTTGTTTGTATTTAAGCTGCCATAGAAGTTAGCTGACATTCTTTTTTTTTTTCTCTCTTCATTACAGCCACAGCAATACCTATGTGACCATGTATTCCCAATCAAGTCCATCAGCCTACAGCTTAAAATTAGGGATGCAGTAAAGTGCATACTACCCCATACTAATGAACAAGATCTAACACTCTTCTTAAGGTACTGGTCTCTGCTAAATGTTGGAATAAAAAGGGAAACTCACACAGCTAATGGTCATGGCATTTCCAGCTCCAATTTTCTGGTGATAATTTTGAAGAAAAAAAAACTCAATAAAGTATACACCCATTAAAGGGAACTAGTAATTGAAACTGGATGGAGAAAACTGAGAAGTAACATAATTTTTAGCAGATATTTTTAATGTATTCCTTTATTGGTTTTAGAATTGGTCCAATAATCACAATTTTTACTGAACGCATTATTATGCCAATAAATGACATTCCTTATCCAAATAATTGTGTTTTATATATGCTCATGTCTGCTGCTTTTACATTTTCATGGTAGGGTTAAGAAGCTTTCATTTGGTAGAGCTGGGTAAAGTGATCTAAATGGTTACAAATATGTGGACAAACCATCTTTTCCGAAAACAACCACATTTCACTTGAAAATTTCCAGCACGACACAGTGCCTGTGAACTTGCCTGTCGGTCAGACCCCACTCTTTATTTTTTAACAACTTGGGGAATTCAGTCAGGGGCAAGGATCTTAAAGACACTGAGACTCTGCAAGTCATATGAAATGGAAATGGCACCGGGCAGGGGGAGATGTGAGAGGTTTCCTGCCAGGGGAGTTCTCTACGCCAGGAGCATAACTTGTGCTGAACTCAGAAGAAATCTATTTGGGGAAAAAGTGTTTAGAAATACCCTCCTCGTGGGGTAATCTTCAGAGCTTACACTTTCTGAGACTCTAAATTGCCTTGGAGATAGAAATCTGTAGGAAACCTAGCTTTAGTTTCAGTCTTCACAGATGAGCTTCTTTCAAAAAAAACCCCAGCATTTTTACAAAGAAGGAATATGCCCGAAAGCAAACTGAACACAAGGCAAACATGGTAATATTCGTCTTTGTTAAATTAGCTGATGCTGCGTGATTAGAACTATTGTTCAGCTCAGCTGTTAACTCTTAGCTGATTTCCTAGTGCTTAACTCCCAGATAATTTCAAAGAGATTTATGCATGAAGTGAGAGTTAAACATAGACTTAAGTGCGGTGCTGACACAGGCATTGTATAGGTATATATTTAACATGAAGTGTTCTGAATCCGGGCTTCAGCGACATCTTTAAGCACATTGAAGTTGAAGGGATTACTCACATTCCTGCAGATCCCTGCAGCCTGGAGCACCACGTTGAATTATGGCATAGTAAGGGATCAGAACTAGTCTTATCTCTGAATTTGCTGAGTGGGTTGAACCACCGAATTCTGGCGGTGTTGAAAGAAGCCTCAATCAGTTAGTTACTTCTCTGCTGCATCTGGCTTGGCAACGAGTCAAGGAGAACAACAGTGCTCATTTCCTCTTCATGTATTATGCACCATTTGTTTTGAATACCTTGTTTATTCTAACACAAAGGCTATATTTCATTTCATTTTGGTACTACGTTAGTGGGAAGATGTGAGAATTGAGGACACTACTCAATTATGGAGCCACAGATCAACAGACAAAAAGTTTTTATATGGCTTTGGACTGCCTGCATTGATAAAGCTATATCCATTATTCTTCTCTCTGCTACTGGGGTAGAAATAATAAATATTTTAAGAATCCCAAAATAGACGGAAGTAGTAATATTGACTAAGCAGAAACTGCTTGCCAGGAGATTAGGCTTTAGTTGGTAGGATTTAAATATGCCTGGCACGTCAAAGCAATGTGACAAGCCAGTGTTTTCATAATGTGCTGCATCTACCTCATAACTTGTTGTGAAAGAATGATGACTGCTGCCAGCTTGCTTTGTTCTTATTAATATTTTTGAAGATAAGAAAGTGAAATGGCTCCATTTCAGGAATTAAGTCATTCCTTTGTGCCAAAATACTGACAGGAACTCTTGATGCAGGAAGATAAATTAGAGTTCTGACTTCTGCATTTCAAAAAAGAAGTCAACACTGCTTGAAAGGAGCCTTGCTGTTCAGGCTGGTGCTACTTCTTTTAATATTGCAGATGTGAATGTCGAGTGAGTTTACTGTGTGAGTTTTTGCAACATGAAATGGAACAGACTGTTTGACTCAGACACTTTGAAGCTGTGATTTTAAAATTCAGGGATAACTTTAGGGAAGGGGAGGTCAGAATAACCAGCAAGTGGAACACATGGACCTCAGTCGATATTGTAATGTCAGCTGTATGGCAATATTTGCAACCCATGGGATATTCTCCTTGATGTTTTTGCCACTGACTATTCCAGATCCCACATAACTACATTTGCAATGTTTTCCCTTCATGTAGATGGCATTTAAACCCCTAGTGAATAGCTGTCTATCCACCTCCATTCTAATCCAAAAGCTCAGCCTTCCCTATGGGTCCAAAATGACAAAATTCCCACCCCCGGCCCTTACCCAGCACAGCACCAGCTATAGACTCCTCCTTGTACAACTCATGTGGACCAGCTTTCTGTGGACCTGCATTATCCTGGTCCAGACACTTCTATCTGCTCGTTGCTTTATTCCTGTGACCTGGACACCTGTGTCCTGATGCTGGTTCTTTCTCTGCCGCAGTAAATACATTTGTTTTCTTACTAGGACAAGATCCTCTGCTGTTAAGTTGAGCTCTTCCCATGAGGACCTGTCTTGGATTACCCCACTGGAGTATGTATTACCTGTGCCTTTGCTCTGTCAGCAAGCCCAGCCCTTGTGCCCTCTGTGCCAGATGGAAATACAGGGTTGTTTTCCACCCTCCTCTTTTCCAAAGATGGTTGTCCCATGCTCTGTCAGCAAGCCCAGCCCTTGTGCCCTCTGTGCCAGATGGAAATACAAGGTCGTTTTCCACCCTCCTCTTTTCCAAAGCCCTTCTCATGATGGTTGTCCTGGGACTCTGCTTGTTGATGATGGTAGGTAGAAAATGGACAGTGTCCATCTGGGGTCTCAGTTGCTCTTCTGCCCTTTACCTGTACTACTCCTTGGCTGCCTGCCTGTTACCATCTTCCATATATTCATCTGGGATTGGGAACTCTCTGAGCAGAGACTGGCTATTTTGAAACTCCTGTGAACACCGTAACACTTGATCTGTGATCGATGGTTCCAAACTGTGGTTATAGCAACACACCTTACCTGATGGAAAATACCACTGGCACGTGGAGGAAGAGACATCAAAGTTCCAGCCAAGACAAAAGGAGAAACCGTTTATTACGGGTGACTCGCAGGCGAACAGTAAAACCAACCATCAGCACTTCAGAAGAGGAGTCACTGCAAACCTTCACCTCCTCACCTTGCAATAATTCTCATGTCACCTGTAGTCACAGGTCAGTCCCTCTGCACCAGTTTGCACACCTTGGTCGAGCTGTTTCAACTGAGAGCAGCTCTTCAGACGTGACAAGCTCCTGGGCAGACACGGTTGAGACCATGAGCAGGAGTTCATTTACTTGCAAAGAACACATGTTGAAGACTGGGGAGTGCAAGTCCTTTGCTTTTCCAGTTTAAACAGAGATACAACAGACATCAAGGGAGGATGTAATATTGCTGGGAAAGCACATATTAAATAGATCTTTAGTGGAAAAGTGCTGTAATTCCTACCATATCTCACCAAAAAAAAAAAAAAAAAAAAAAAGAAGGATATAAACATATCCTATATACACAAACAATACAATACAGCTGTCTTGTAAGCAGGGATTAGTAGCAAGACAGTGTTATAGAAACAGCACATATTTTCCCTTGGGAAAATTAAACCCCCAGAAATTTAGTCCATTCAAGGCCACAGAGAAACAATGTGCTGCTTGCGCTCCTGTTTCTTTTCCTAGTTTCTGAGACTGATATTTTACAAACCAGGTTTCTGTAGATTTTCCATTTTGTTTAAAAACTACAAAGTTCTTGGATCAGCATTCTTTTTCCATTAAAAAAGAAGAAAAAAAAATAACCTAAATGCATTCTTCTCCACATTTACATTTTCCTATTTCCCTTACTTGGTTAAACCAGACAACATGAAGTTATTTTCACCCTTGACTGCAAGTGTGTAATTGATGGAGCAATGCTGTCATGAAGTACTTTAGAAAGGGGTTTAGCAGAAATACACAAGAGATTCCTCTTAAACTAGTTTAATTTGAACAGTTCCATGACAACAGCCGTGGACACAACTTCTGGGAAATGTGGATGCAAATTTGGACTGGAAGATAAGATTCAGTGAAATCAGTGAATTGCAGCTGCTGCATCTGACACAGACACCACGACATCTAGCAACATCTGTTTAGATCACATCCCTAAGATAAGCAGCCATCCAACTGTCTCATGGCAAGCTGCAGCTGGACATTAGGTGGCAACTGAATTCTTCACCACTCAACTTGCACTTTCTTATTTGTCATTTTAATAGCGATTCCTGCGCAGTTCGGGTGCCCGTTCCCCTCCCATACACTACCTGTGATTGCCAACTGTGTAACGAAGAAGGTCATTCGAGATTTCCGCTTCCTCCTCCAGGTAGAGAAGAGCACAATAGAGTTTCCAGCAATTGTGACAATAAAAAGAATCCAAAGAGTCACCAGCTGCTCTGTCTGCATTGGAGAGAAGGGAAAAACAAGCATATCGGTAGGTGGGTGGGTAGTAACTTGGGTTAAGCCATTCAGTTATCTTGGGACAAGTGAGATAAAAATGGAAAAAAGGAACGAAATGTGAGTTTTGCCAATTGATTTCTAATTATATAGTCTAAAAATTTTCTTCTACTTTCAGAAAATACTTAACTTGCATCACCACTGGTGATGTTCCTTCCAGTTTGATTTGCAGTGGCTGTATATTACTTCTATCTTCACGAAACCACTAGCAGTGTCTGTGTTTGGCACTTAACACAAAAATGAGAGGCAGCCCTCAGTTTTCTCGTATTGCTCCAGCAAGCTGTGAAATAACCAGCTGCCTCACTCTGTAAGAAATATTGATAGATGGGCTCCTTTGGAGAAACAGGGGAAATAAATACTTCTCTCCTTCCCAGCTCCAGTGAGCCCGGGTCATCCACAAGCCCTATGAAATTCAGATATCCGGCCCATGATCTAGATGTGCACCAGGACTGAAAAGAAAGCACGACCCACTGTCAGGAAAAGTAAAATTGTGTAGCAAGCGATACGCGATGGCAAAACGTCCCCTAGTGGTAGTGTGTACAAAGAAAAGAAAGTTAAAAAAAAAAGGAAAAAGTTATTCACTTTCTCAAAACATCAGGATCGCCTGGCTGCAAGAACAAGGGTCTATGTATCCATGTTTGCCTGTTTTGTGGGTGCACGCCCAATCGTCTCTCTCCTTTTGGCCACCAAAACCCATTTGGTCCTCTCTAGATGCAATTATTTTTCAGTCTGTAGGTTTTCCCTCACTATGTAAGGGTGTGAAGTTTACGTTTTCTCCATAGCAGCCAGCCAGCTCTGATGCCTGAGAAGCATGGAGTCGGGGGAGCCTGGGTCAGCTGGAGAAAATATTCTGCATTTCTGCAAAACGCTCACTTATAAAAAAATCTGTCCTATATAAGGCTGCATGCAGTGGCACGGAGGGAAATGGTTCTGCTGCTATTCTGCAATGAGGAGAGGGAATTTTTCAGAGTAACAGTTAGGTTTGAAGGGTATAGAGCAAGGGTGCTCAGGAGAAAAAAACCCTAATGTATCCAGCAGCAATAATATACACACTATTAGTAGAGTCAAAGAGAGAAAAAACGCATGTGTAGCTCTGCAGAACTTGTAGTTATAAAGGTAACCCCAATTTCCATGCAGTCTCCCAGAACCTATTGCTCCTGAGAAGAGTCCTGCCTTTGATGTTTCAGGAGGAGACAGTCTGTATGAATGAAATACGGAAGAGCCTTCAAACCCCTTGAACGCCCTTCAACCCCCTCTTCAAGCCTTCTTGTGGCTTTTCAGGACTTCAGCTGCATTGGTCGCCTGGATTCACATCCTAGTATCTGGGGTGAGTTTCGGGTTATGTCAATGCAGTCCTTTGGGATCTTCCAGTTCCTGACACTGAACCCATAATGCGGGACCTAGATAAGGGCTGCAGTTGAAGAGGGGTCATGGCTGCTGGTCCTACAGAAGTGACCCCGAGGCACTGTCCTGAGCAGGGAAGGAGGCTATCAGTGAGACCCACACTGACACAGTCACAACCCCAGGCAATGCTACAGTGATGGTGCCTCTGGACTGGGCACTGGTGAAGTCTCATCTTGAGTGTTGTGTTCAGTTCTGGGCCCCTCACTACAGGAAGGACATTGAGGTGCTGGAACGTGTCCAGAGGAGAGCCACCCAGCAGCTTGTTCTGGAGAACAAGTCCTACGAGGAGAGGCTGAGGGAACTGGGCATGTTTAGTTTGGAGAAGAGGAGGCTGAGGGCAGACCTCATTGCCCTCTACAACTCCCCAAAAGGAGCTTGTAAAGAGATGGGTGTTGGCCTCTTCTCCCAAGGGAATAATGCCAGGAGCAGAGGAAATGGTCTGAAGTTGGGGCAGGGGAGGTTTAGATGAGATATTGGGAAGAATGACTTTCCTGAGATGGAGGTCAGGCCCTGGAACGGCCTGCCCAGGGAGGTGGTGGAGTCACCATCCCTGGAAGTATTTAAGAAACGTGTAGACATGGCACTTCAGGGCATGCTCTAGTGCCTGAGATTGTTGGGGTTTTTTTTTTTGGTGTGTGTATCGTTGGACTCGATGATCTCAAAGGTCCCTTCCAACCATGAATGTGATTCTGTGACCCATACCTGCCTGACTGGGCTGATGATGGAACAGAAGGAGGGGAGAGCACTCATTAAAAGCATTTGGCAGCAACTAACCCATGTCTTTCTAACGCGTGAGCAGACACCAGGCTTCATGCTGCCCACAGAGAGAAAACAGCTCAAATGTGAGCGTGGAGAGGAAAGGTGAAATGGCAGGAAAGGAGTAGGGGCAAGGAACTTCTTGCTCTGCCACAAGCTTTAGTGGCACTCAGCCCCCTTCTGGACCACATCCAGGGTCCCTCCTCTGCTGGGGAACCACCTGTGGGAACCAGACTCAGCTTTACTCCAGGGAGGTAGTCGCACTACCCGGTGGGTTACGTGAGCATGGAGGAAAGGAAAGACCCATTGTATGAGCAATTTGAGGCTGCTCTCTGGGCCTGAACCAGAGATTATTATCTTAAGTATACAATGAAGGCTGTGTTTAGATGGTTTCACTTTTCCCAGCATAATTTTGCCAGCGTAATTTACCATTTGGGTCATCTCACCTAACTTTAAAGCTCCAAAGGGAGACAACTACTCTAAATTGTCATAGCGTAGTCTATATAATAGCAGTATCTCAGAGATGAGTCACCATTCATCTCACCTACCTTGGGATGGCCTGTCTCCACTCATTATGGGTGACCTACATAAGACAACGTTGCGTGGGCTGGATGCTTAGCTTTTAGACAAGAAAAACCTCCACCTTTTTTGGGCGTCTGCAAATCTCTGAAATTACTTGGAATTTTCCCTTCAAAATGTGTGGCAGAGACATGGCAGGACTATTTTTATGGGGATGCTTTGCTTTGTACAGGAATTGGAAGTGTCTTTTTGGACGGTAATTAAAATTTCAAAAGGTAAGATTTCACATCACTTTTGTCTTTGGAATCGGTGGGTTCTCCTCAGGGTTTGGTTTGTCTTTTCCGTTTCAGAAAAAGATCTTTCACTCGTGAAGAAAACTGAGGGGTGAGACTTGTTCCCATATTCTCTAGTATCAAATCAGGAGAGAATTTTCTTGAAAGAAATTCTGTGTTCCTAGGTTATATATATATATATATGTTGCGGGTACAAACAGAGCAAGGACCTGACACTCAAATCTTCTTCCATTTCCCACAGAAGAAATACCTATGGAGCAACAGAGGCTGCGTTAGAGGGGTGTTTCTCCACCACAGGAGCGCAGCACTTACGGTCAGTTTAAATCCCCTCCTGCCAAGTTAAAAAGCAGCGCTTAGCACTTTAGCAATTGCAGGCTAAGGCTCTACGGAAATATACAATTAAACCAGACTACAAAGATAACCTAAAAGGTACAAAAGCTGAATAAAGGAGAAGTAAGTTTGAAAGGACATAGACAAAGGAATAAAGCCAAAGTTTCTATTAATCTATTTGTGGTAGCTGGCATCCAGAGAGAAGAGAAGCGGATCCCATTCTTGGGGATTAAGGAGCTATAACAATAGGCAACTTAAATCACTGCAGCCTCTCTTTGCTTGTATTAGCTTGCAGAATGGAAACTTCTGTGGTTATTAACGGGATGCCCACCGTGATAAAGGCCTTCGTGGAGGCTAGGATTAGAATTCAGTGTGATCTGGATGCATGGCAAACATGCACTGGGAAAAACCCCAAGATGCTGTTCAACAAAGGAGAAGGGCAGGACAGTGCAGTGCAGTGGGGGTAATCACATCGGGTTGGGCAAGTCTTCAAAACATCTCCCCCCCCCACGCAGCAGGTGAAGAAGTGCCCCACAACTGGAACACAATTTAATAATGTCACCCTGCCAAGAGAAAGACAACCACCACCATGGAATTGACACTAGTCTTGCGCGCCTCTGCTCTAAATCTTCCACTGTACTCAGCTGCTGTGCTATCCCCACTGCTGGGTGCCATTGCTTCCAGAGAGACACTGAGCAATGAATTGGTGGTGGTTTAGAGGACGTAGCCAAGCAAAAAAAAAAAAAAAAAAAAAAAGCTGAATGAATTAAGTTGCTTAATCTAGCAAAAAGCAGGCTGCAGGGAAATACGAACAGAGCCTTGAAGACACAAAAAGACCGATGTAAAAAAGGAAAGGCGTAATCTCTTCTTCAGATCTACTGCAGATTGGCCAAAAATCAGTGAATTAAAACTACAGCACAGAATTCAGATTGATCATATTAAAAAATTGACTTTAAAATACACTATATATATAGATTATTTGAGTCAGTGAAGCCCCTACCTATGAAGGTCTTAAAATAGCTATTAGATTGGAGTGACAGCTGATTGATCCCTGAACTTCACTCCAGCTGCATTTTTCTATAATTCTGGTTAATTGGTCACCTTAAAGTTGCTTAGACATAGAGAAGTTTCATTTCATGTCTTGTTTGTTCAGCAAGCAGAAACCGCCTTTTTGCGACAACCTTCAGCAAGGTGATTTACAAAAAAACCATCATTTAATAACACGTTGCACAGAAATCAGCAGCCTTCAGGATAAAAAGACAGATAATAATATTTCCCAAACCCGTGTGCAGAAGCTTTTCTTTGACAAGGGCTGGTTTTGCAATGGGCATTGCTAGCTCTGTTACATGAGAACGCTGCAAGAGAGACCAGTTACATACACCAGTTCTTTTAGATTAGAAAACATAAAAGATGCTGGCGACTTAATTAAGGTCACAGAGTAAATCAAAGCCAAGAGGATTTCCTTGGCCTGACTACAACCAGTGCATGCACTGCTATTCCACAAGACTGCTGTGTCTGGAGCATGGAAGCACTTGACATCTGGAGCACATATTGATGTTTGGCTAATTCGCTTTAAGATTAAAACCAGCTTTAATCAATGAAGCAAGCATCTTCATGGGTGAAATATAAGTCAGAAAACCT